AAAATCAAAATTAAATGATGCCTTCTTTTTTTCGTTCATTAAAAAAAAAATTCTATATGATCGGCTTCTGTTGTCAGACACCACAAGAAATATAAAGGTTCAGTCCTAAATACATCAGCACCTTAAATAGAAGGGTCAATGCTGTCATCTGATGTCATCCTTAGTAAAACAACCTTAAAGAAAACACATAATAAAAGGCCCTTACAGATTATGTGTCGGGAAATTGAGCTATCTCAGCTCATTGATTTTTTTAGAAACTCTTGGGAATTATCCAGTACGTTGTTTGGTTTACAAAACAACAGTTGAGAAATCAGAACTTTTAAATCTAGCCATTTTAGAGAGTGAACATTTTCCTTTTGGGACCATGACTTGACCTATCTTTCTAGATATTATCAAAAAATGAATTAAGAAAACTCAAATAGTATTGATAATTTACTGTGCTTTTTGCTCCTGAAATTCTTAAATAAGTGGCCTGCCCCACGGCCTCTGACTTTCTCTGCTGCTCTCACTTCCACCTCCTGCAATCCAGATCTCAGCCCCACCAATATGTTGCTTTCACAAACACTGGAAGTGATGCCTGCGGCCAAATGTGCCAAACATTCCTCCAGCTGCATTCCACCTCAGTTCTCTTCTAAATTCGTTTCTTTTGAGCAGCAATGTGATATAGGTTTGTTTGATTGCTTGCTTGCTTGCTTGTTTGTTTTAAATTGCAGATTTGACAGACATATATCTCATTTTAGCTTCTAGACCTTACTAGCGATGTGACTTTGGGCAAAGTGACTAGTGTCTGCAGCCTCAATTTTCCCAAAGGTAAAAATGATTGTAACAGTGATTGCTACTTATAACTGATCAATGATCAGTGATCACTACTTCTGTTGTTGCTGTGAAGACTGAAAGGGAAAGTGTATGTAAAATATCTGACCCATCGTGGAAAGCTCCCTCTCCACCTCCAACTTCTTTATGCAGAACCTGTTTTCCTAAAGAATTGAGCATATATTTTAGCAATTTCTGCTCTCCACTATACTCCCTAGATTACTTTTTTTTCTTTTAGAAGTTTTAATCACCTGTTTCTGCCTTCTTTGAGTCAGAAACACTGAATTATTTCTCAAGTCCACATTTATGATTAAATACCATTCATCCCCAAATTTAATCTCATTTTGCTAACATCTGCCTATTTTTTTATACTTCTTCTGATCAGATGTCTTGCCTCCCACTTTAGGACTGCTGTAGTTCCTTTTAATATTTTTGCTTACGCTACTTATCTACTTATTTTTTCCTGTCTTAGTGTCCATTTGAATTTACATGTTCTCTTCCCTTCTTCGCATATGTGAACACATACTACCAGAAGGTTTATTAAAGCTTAACTATGCTAAGTGTCTGACTAAAGTTTCCTGAAATTTCTTCACAGTTTCTTTCCTTGCTAATTTAACTACCATG